GCCAGATCCTTCGGCAGCTTCGTGAATAGACCCCTAAGACATGAAAATGTGGCCTGTAAAGTGGAAAGTGCTTCTCCTCCTGGGTGCCTGCCTCAAGTTGAAGAGCTTTTTTATAATATTCAGTTGCTAACTTGTCTTGACCGTCCTCCTGGTAGATAAAGCCAAGTAAGCCATATCCTGTGGGATTGACTGACTTCTGGGCAATCTCTGAACAATGATTGTTTTTTTAACGTTATTACTTCCTTCAAGTGACTGATTGCTTTTGATTCAGACTTTTGAGAAAACCTTTCATAACACGCCTGGTTGTAATGAAGTTCTTGCTTCTGTATGCAGCTGATATTTTTCAGGACAGAGTTTTGTGAAATGTTTCCTCAGCCCTTTGATATTCAAGTGCTTGTACATATACTCCAGCCAGTACAATGTAAGCTGCCACAAATGTCGTCATTAGCTCTACCACTCTTTATATCTTTCAAAGTAATTTATTAATTTTTCAAAGTAGAATAAAACAATAAAATAGCACACGATGCGCAATCAGTATAGCATACAATTGCATTTCAGATTCTTCCACATTAGCATAGTCAAGTAGTAGGAGGGGATCGCTAGAAACCATACACACAATATATAATAGTTCTGTAAAACAGAACATATCTATCCACCTATTCTTGCCCATTTATCCCCCATCAGCAAAAATCAAAATCAAAACAGTCTGCGAGGAATATCTGGCATAGGGATCCATCTATGTCTGAAGCAAACATTTGTTATGATCTCCTCCATATCTATATAAATAGAAGACTTTCTGTCCAACATCAATGTACTAAACAGCTCACGTGTGCGAGCATAAAGAAAAGAAAAACAGACAAAAAGAGGCAAAGGAAATAGATACTAAAGGAAGCAGAACAGCAGAAGAGTCCGAAAAGAGTAGCTCCATCCCTGACCAAATAGCCCAATTTCTACTTAAACATTAAACATAGTCCCCAGCGAAAAAATGCCAGAAAAATTGTACAATGGAAATGACCTGTTTTCCAGCACCCCTGTATATAACAACCAGGGGGTCCAGGTCAGTTCAAAGCATTTTTTAGTATCTTGGAGGATGCTGTAAAGTTTCTCATGGACCATAATCCACAACATTTTTTGTTTGACCAAGTGGAATGGAATTGTTGGTGTTTTCCAAGCACTAGCTATAGTTATTTTGGCTGCCAACAAAAAGAAAGTGATTCATTTATCCAGAGCTTTAGACAGTCCTGGAATCGGGTAATTCAGCAACACATATTGGGGATCTCGTGGGACTCTCACCCCTGTAACCCTAATGGGTTATGTTTATGATTTTTTGGTAAGGTATTGCCCATAGTTGGGGATAATTGTAATGGATAGGATTGTTGCACTATATGTGTGCTTTCACGGCTGTGAGAGCGAATGTTGTAAAAATGTGTTCTTATACAAAACTTTAATAAAAAGAATTTATAAAAAAAAAAAAATTTCAGAAGGTCGTGGGAATCGCAATGACAAGCGTATATATTGTTAGGCCAAATGTAGAATGAATATCAATGGCCAAGCTCTCCTTAAAAAAAAAAAAAAATAAGGAGACGTTGTTGTATGGAAAGAGAGAAAAAAAATGCATAAAGAGAAAAAGAAAGGGAGGGGGTAGCAAGAAAGAAAAGAGAAAAAAGACTATAGAGATAAAAGAGAAATAGAGAGACAGAGGAGTCCAGGCTGTGTGGGGAGGAGGGAGTCGTTATCATCTAATAGGTTGCCATTAAATAATTCATCAAAGAGTAAATAATCTTAGATGTGGGTCTGAGGGTAAATATTTTTGCACCCATGGTGACCATATTTTTTGCAAATTTTGCATAGTATTGTTTAATTTAGCAGTTCTTTTCTCCTGGGACATTATCCAGTGAATGTGACGTTTGACATTACGGATACTAAGGAAGAGGATTTCCAAGATTTTTCTATTTCCCTCTTTGTGGCTGTAAGATTGTGAAGGAAAAGTTTAAAAACAGCAGAGGGGATATCATCCGGCTTATAATTAAGCAGAGCTATTGTCAGGGTACCATGCGCAGGTGTCCTCACACCGCATGCAGGTACCCACGCAGGAGGATCAAATTAGTGTGACCACAGTAGACCAGATCAATGAGTTGTATACCATTTATTGTGTACAGCACAACTAACCATAACACCCAAAAGAAAATATAAATAAGCATGAATAAGTAAAGTGACACCAACAAAATATAGCCACAACCCCATATAAAAGATAACAGGAGCAAATACAAACCCAGGGTATACAAAGCAAGTAAACCTAAGGAGCAGGGCAAAACGAGGGGGGCCAAGAGACAAGGCGTCAGGGTACAGGCAGGTAACAGGTCTCAGGACTGGAGGCAGGTAACAGAACTGGGGATTCTGGATTCACATGAAGCAACAGGATCGTCAGAGACCAGGAGCTGGGCAGCAGGCACAGGATCGTCAAAGACCAGGAGCTGGGCAGCAGGCACACACTGTTGTGGTTGACACAGGGTTTCAGGACATGCGGTATACCCCAGAACTATGTCAGAGGCCAGAGGGCAAGGAGTCTTAAGGAATGGGCGATGAATGGGCACAGACGCGAGTTGTAGTGGAACTGGCATCGGTTCGTCTGGAATGGGATCGTCTGGAACGGGATAGGCCGGAACTGGAACAGACTGGACTGGAACTGGAACAGACTGAACTGGAACTGGAACAGACTGGACTGGAACTGGAACAGACTGGACTGGAACTGGGGCAGACTGGACTGGAACTGGGGCATCCACAGCCTCATCCTCAGAGCAGTCACTCCAATCCTCATCCTCCGAACAATCAGTCCATTCCTCAAGATCATGCACGTCTGCCTGAGAGGTAGCCAGGAGACGTGAAGGTTCTTGCTGGGTTGCCTTGGGAACAGGTGTAGCTGAATGGCGGACAGGCGCTGTTGCTAGGGAAAACTGGGAGTGGATTTCTTCAGGAACAGCAGGAGTCACTGCGGTTGTCATGGGCATTTTTGGTGTCCCATGTTGGGTGTCAGAGCCAAGAACAATGAGAGGCTTCCACTCAAATGGTCTGGCATTAGAGGAATTGGGATTACTGATGGGCATAAAGGTTACTTTGTTTGACATACGAAATGAATAAGTATTCAGCTAAAAAAATATTGAATATGTATAAAATTCTACGTTTCCACCTGAATTCCTGGTTGGGCTGTAAATAGGGGATGACAGGCATTGTTGTAGTAAAGAGAAGCCACAAAGGATTTGTAAGGGACTCTGGGACACTATTATGGGCTCTCTCTGTTGGAACACGCCACTACTGGTGCATGCCACTTCACCGGTTGCTGATGGCAATCAGGTAACTGGTTATGGCTGTGACAGTACCAGCTGACACCGTACTGGTATTGCTGGCAAACAGGACACTGGTTGTGGCTGTAACAGTACCTGCTGGAAACCGTACTGTTACTGCTGGAAATAAGGACACTGATTGTGGCTATAACAGTACCTGCTGGAAACCATACTGGTACTATTGACAATCAATATACTAATTGTGGCTGTAACATTACCTCATGATCTGATTTAATATATCACTATAGATTAAAACAGACCTGCATGTAGCAGAAGAGTACTGAAAAGACTTTGGCAATACCATGTAGTCAACCTGTGGTTTCTACATGTACCTATAGACAGCCCCCCCAGTGTAGGGTGAAGCCCATTTTTGGGGCCGCTGTAATACGATATTTATAACACTTTCTGATAATGGGGAGGGCTGCCATTCTACCTCCAACCTTCTGACATTTTGAATTGTCCCGTGACAATGATGGGTGGTTTACTGGTCAATAGAAACAGACAGGAGGGGTTTAATAACCTTTCTTTACTATTGGTAAGCGTTGGAAATAATAACAGCAGCCCCTAATTTGGGGTTGGTTGGTGCTCTTTGGGACACATAAAGACTTTTTAGGGTAATGATAGATTTACTTTATCAGATTTTTTATACAGTCAACCTTGTTTCTAATGTATTATTCTAATTAACACTAAGGGGTCTATTCACGAATGCCAGATCCTTCGGCAGCTTCGTGAATAGACCCCTAAGACATGAAAATGTGGCCTGTAAAGTGGAAAGTGCTTCTCCTCCTGGGTGCCTGCCTCAAGTTGAAGAGCTTTTTTATAATATTCAGTTGCTAACTTGTCTTGACCGTCCTCCTGGTAGATAAAGCCAAGTAAGCCATATCCTGTGGGATTGACTGACTTCTGGGCAATCTCTGAACAATGATTGTTTTTTTAACGTTATTACTTCCTTCAAGTGACTGATTGCTTTTGATTCAGACTTTTGAGAAAACCTTTCATAACACGCCTGGTTGTAATGAAGTTCTTGCTTCTGTATGCAGCTGATATTTTTCAGGACAGAGTTTTGTGAAATGTTTCCTCAGCCCTTTGATATTCAAGTGCTTGTACATATACTCCAGCCAGTACAATGTAAGCTGCCACAAATGTCGTCATTAGCTCTACCACTCTTTATATCTTTCAAAGTAATCAAGACACCAATGTTCGTAGGTTGTTTT